GAAAAGAGTTTGCATCGTTGTTAGGGTTCAGCTGGCCTTTTAGGGCCACTTTGTGGTCATTTGTACATGCATGTGGGGGCTTGGGCATGCCCCTAGCAGACAAGGGAGGTGCTCATTGGCTTTCTAGGGAGCTCAGTGGGTAGCGGGTGGGAGAAGGTGTTTTTCTCCAGGAATGTACTGAGCTACGCACGGTGGTTGGAGCAGGCAGAGTAGGAAAAAAAATTTCCTATCACCTTTGAACTCTGCTCCTAGCTAAGGTGTTCTGTGCTGGTGACATTACTGAAGGTTATTGCCCTGTAGCTTGTGTGAGGTCCAGGTGGAGACAGAGGATGTTATTTCATAAGGCTTTTTTATTGGGATCGCTTGCTAAACAGCGCTCTACCCAACATGACTAACACCGCTGGAAAAAAGAAGTGGCATGCCATTTTGCCGCGTTCTGGGGCTTTCACTACTTTGGTGGCTGCTGCTTTCTGTGTGTAATTTTGGAACATGCATTGGATACTTTCATCCTGGGCAGCAGGACAGGTTTCTAAAGCATCTGCCAGTGCAAATTCTGTCCTAACACCTGGTGCAGCCCAAAGTCAACGGAGCTTTTCATGGCACACGCAAGGCCCAGATTGTTCTGCCAGGGAGCGAAGGACTCGTCCTTCTTACTCTCTCGCTTCTGCATGTCAAGCAGCTAGTTCTGCTTTTGACCGTGCTCCATGCAGTTATTAACTTTGGCCTCTAGCTGGCCGCCTTTCTCTTTTTTGGCATGGCCTCGTGCCATGTGCCGTTGTTCACTCAATAAACTCATCACAGTAAATAAACATCAGTGTCCTGTGAACTTGTAATAGGGAAATGAATGAAAAAGCTATCTGACAAGTCTAATCTCCAGAGCCTGAATAGGGCACTCTGAATTCTGTCGAGAGGTGACACGGAGATTCGCGCGGGAAGCACGCCACCTCCTCACAACGGACTGTGTTAAAAATATCCCCAGTCCTGTCTGCTGGAGGAGGGCAGTGCGAAAGGTGTGAAACCCAAAGGGAGCAAGCCCTTTCCTCAAAGTGCTCCTGGAATTTTTTCCGGTAAGAGAAAAGAGCCCATTTCTATCATCATGTTCCCTACAACAGCATGTTACTCCATGGACAAAAAGCTGCATTCTTGTCTCGTGCCTACCGTAGTTTAAAAAAAAAAAAAAGGATGCATAGTATCTGATATCAGCTAATGTGATAACAGCCCTGACACCAGGTGAAACCCTCCCAAAGACAAAGCACTTCATAGTTTTAAACACACACCTGCAGACTGAGATTAAGCCCTATGCTTCAGACTTTATCTTGGGGCCTCCCCACAATTCCCCCCGTACGCTCAGGAGAACAGATAAGTTTCCGCACAGTTTAGCAGGGAGAAATCACAGTGCAGCTCAGCTTAATGCAGCACAGAGAGCCGTGGGACATCCGTTCAGAAGTCCTAGCAATGTACATAGAAATAGGGATGGGAAGGACCTTGGGAGGTCATTCAGTCGATCCTTAAGGCAAGATGAACTCGGTCTAAACCTTCCTGACAGATATTTGTCAACTTGCTCTTAAAAACCTCCAGTGATGGAGGTTTCACAGCCTCCAACTAATCCATTCATGTGCTTAGCTAGCCTTATGGTTAGTTAATGCTTCCTCCTATAGAGTATGATACTTAAGATGCCTGTATATAATGCAGGCATTCATGTAAGTCATGCAAATGACCTAACCATTTGTCATAGCTCACAGATTCTGATATTAAAAGACACTGCTTAATACTGAATTAAGCATGCCAGCTAATTCATGCTGGAGCAGCCTGGCTGATGATTTGAACCTGCTTGTGGCTAGTTACCTTGTACTAATGAGGCGTGCTCAGCCTGGTCATAACTATTAGCACCTCATTGAGGCTTTTAACTGTGTTATTCAGAGCACCAGCCCACACGGCCAGTCCAGCCACTTACTCCTATGAGGATGTGCTTTGCACCTGGGTCTGTGTAACAGCCAGAGTGGGAGACCTGGCTCAGGAGAGAGAAAGCACTCGGCCTCAGGATTAACTGTCCCATGTGTCATGCAGGTTCTTGCCTGCCAGAAGAGCTTGCTTTATTCAGTTTATGTTGTGGCCAAACTCAGTCTCCCTTGCTGTAATTTAAACCTGTTGCTTCCTATCCTATGCCAGTGGACATGGAGGATGATTTTATAACCTTCCTCTTTGCAGTAACTGTCTGCGTGGCTACAGGTGTCCGCACAAGTGAGGACACGGGAACTTGAGAACGGTAGTGTGGTTGCTCATGCTTGGGTTGGGTCAACCAGACCTACATCAGAGTGCAGAGCTAATAGCAGGGAAGCCTTGTCCTTGGTGACAACTACTTTAGGTTGAACTTTTGTTACCACTCTCTCCATTGACCAGAACGTGAACATGAAGTGGGTACCACCCTCTGTTTGACGAACTGCTTACTGCAGCCTAATATATACAGACCAGGAGACCGAATCTGACCTAAATGACGTTACTTGGTTACTATAGCAAGGAGGAAATGAGACTTCCTATGGCTTCTGTGCCTGTTTTTCATACATTATTTTATTTATTTAGATATAGATATAGAGATATATGCATGTACAGATGTATCATATTTATTCAAATCCAAGATGCAGCTTTTTTCCTATTCAACCGGGGGTGGGGGGAAAGAAACCTTGTCTTGTGTGGCCTGGGGCCAACAGCTGGTGCGGCTCTGTCTCCAGCCCTGGGCCAGGGGAGATTGCACAGTGGGGTGGGAGGAGCGCAGGGGAGATCATGCGGTGCGGGGTGGGGTAGATTGCGTGGTGTGTGGCCTGGGGGAGCGTGCAGGAGACCATGCACTGGCAGCGGAGCTGCTGCAGCTCTTCCCCTGGCCCTGAGCTGGAGGAAGCTGTAGCTGCTGCGTAGGGTAAGTGGCTGGGGGCAGGAGGCGGGAGGGGAAGGAACGAGTGTCTGGGGGGCAGGCTTTGGGGGTCAAGTGGGAAGGCGGCTGTGGGGCGGGTGCCAGGGGGGGCAGGTGGGGGATCAAGGGGCAGACTGCTTGGCCTCCCGTGGATTTGGGTAAATACGATTTTATATATCTATAGTTCACTGTGGTGCTACTTGACATGATGCCCAGAGAATAACTGTGTAGCGTAAACTTTTATGAATGAGTGCAACAGGCACTTTTTATGGGGACTTTTTTCTATTCAGTTACTAATTCAAATGAGATTAGCATTGGGGCTGTTTGGTTTTTTCAAGCTCTGAAGGGCCCTTGAACTAAATTGGGGTTTTGCCTGTTAAAGAATGTGATTAACGCTTTCTTTTTAAATCATTTATCATGCGACTTACTCCAGGATGACTCTGGCTTATCTTCTTGGAGTAATGTTGGTTAATGAGTTTCTAAATATACAGGTGAGCGAGGCTATTTTTAGTTCCCTGCATTTAATCGCATTCCACACAACTGCTCCTGTGGAAAACACTAAGAAGAAATGGCTCTCCTTTTTTGCATGTAATTTGACAATGAAATAAATGCCTCCAAGTGCAGAGACGTAGGAACATATTAGATATTTGTATTTCTTTAAATAAGCAGCTGTTTTATTTAACTAGGAATCAGATTCTGTTTGGAAATCAGTGGGGTTATGGCTGAATGATCCTTGTTTAATTAGAGCAGAATGTGACCTAAATTTTACTCCTTTTGCTGCTGATGTGGTATGCTGTGGACTGTAGGAAGAGTGCCAGTACCAGGATACCACTTAAACCTGAAATATTTATGAGCACTACACCATTTACTACTGTGCAGCCCTGATTTTCCATTAGGCTGGGCGCTCGGTGGGGGCATTGCAGTGCAATAAATATTTACACATTGGGGTCCTGATTCCTGTAAATGCTTAAGGTCATGCACACGCGTAGGTCATTGCATATTCAGGGCCTTGGAGTATAACGTCTGCCAGAACAATCAGCACTGAACTTAAAAATAAATAGCTCTTTACTTAGAAGACCAAATGTCTGGGGCTTTGCTTTGAAATAGTGACTCACTCGTACAGCATAGCATTGCTTCTTACAGCACACCCGCAGTAAATATTAGCATGCTTTGAATTGCCATGTGATGGGTTTTTTAAGTGGTAAGTGCGGTTCTTACACGATCAAGTACGCTCTGGCTGATAGGGAAGAACGTACCTGTCAATCCAGGTAAGATGTCCATGTAACCTATTGGACGTTGCAGTACCACATGGGTTTAACAGTGACATAACTTTGACCTAACAGTGCCCATTATTCACTAAAACTAAATTTGGGAGCCATGAACTTCTACAGAATCCAACTACAAAAAGAAACACTGCGGAATTTAATATAGAATCCAGTGGAAGTGGTGCTTGTTTTTAACTATTAAACCTCCACCAGTATCATCAGCCTGAACACTGGAGCATCCACTTAATACATGAGAACTTGACCTCAGAAGTGGTTAGACACAGCTAGAGGGACTTCTGAATCTGGCCGATCAGTTTGCTTTGTCCAAACAGAAATGCAGTAATGAAAACTGAATGTTTTTTAACCCGATGCCACATCTTCTTAAAGAAACTACTTGTATTCTTCAAAGGCACAAATAATTCAATATGTCCTGACTCTACTTTTTGGAAATGCCCATGCTTTTATGTATTTCAGAGAGTCTGTGTCCTTTTTTTTAAACAACACGGGTCTGTCATTGCAGGGCAAGACTTTCCAGCTAGTTAAAATAATCTGGTCGAGTCTGCCATTACATGGCAGTCTCATTTCCACCCCCCGGCCCCGAGATTCCTCTGCTTTAGGGATACAGATGGCTCTTTCCTTAAACTTGAACAATAATCACCTTCTCTCCAAATAAATTCTAAGTCTGAAGGCTTCAAGTGGCCAACCGATCATTTTACTCCCTCTCGATGTAGTTCTTTTCCAGTCCGTTCCACTGTATTCTTTGAAGCTCTCTTTGCGGTGCTACAGTGCAGGCTGACTCTTCTTTCTCTCCCTCCACACTTTACCAGTGTACACCTAGTACCACAGAAATGATCAATACAGCCTCTGATGGTGTCAACTCTAGCAATGATAGTAGACACCACGAAATCTTACCATTGCACCACTCACCGAGATACCAAAAATACGTGCATCACTTCTGAAGATATTAAACACTGGCGATTTCCCAAGCATCCTTGCAGTAGGTATATTAATACTGTCTCCCATTTCATCGGTGGGCAAACTGAGGTCGTGACATGCACTGAACCAGTGGCTAAGTTAAGACAGAGCCAGTGACCCTGCATTGTGCCTAAACTGTTAGGCCAGTAGTTCTCAACCTTTTTAGACCCAAGGCACCCCTCAGAAAATGCCGGCGTTTAGCTTTCACTCGGTTTTTGACTATAGACAGATACTAGAGCAATTCTTTTGTTGCAAAGAACTCAAAAAGGGTGCAGCAGATCAGAATTTTTTTGGCGCTGGATTCCTATTTGACATCTCTGGGTTTATCTCGTGACTGGTGTGTCGATGTTTTTACACCAGCAGTGCTAATACACCCTTAAAAGTATGTCACTGCACCTCAGGGTGCCATAGCACTGGTTGAGAATAACTGCATTAGGCTGTTGATATTGTTCCCATTGGATTTTCTTTAGGGAGCTCCCCAGTTGTGATTTATCCCCTATTTTTGACACTTCCTTCATGGAGACTGCGGGTGAAAGAGCATTTGTACAACCCTGGTCCTAAGTGAAAGCACTACTTCTATGATATTTGGCAGGGGGGGGGCATTGCAGGGCAAATGCGGCTGCTTTGCTGTGCTTACTAGCCTTTATGTATTGGGTGTGCACACATTTTTTTTGCTGGATCAGTTTACCATTCTAACTGACTTATTCCCCTTCAGGGCACGCCACTTTTGAACTGGGAGCTACGTGGATCCATGGTTCGCATGGAAACCCAGTCTATCATCTAGCAGAAGATAATGGCTTACTTGAAGAAACTACTGATGGCGAGAGAAGCGTTGGCCGCATCAGTCTCTACTCCAAGAATGGGGTGGCTTATCATCTTACCAACAACGGGCAAAGGATCCCGAAAGATGTGGTTGAAGAATTCAGTGATTTATACAACGAGGTTGGTATTTAGCAGCCTTATCAGATGGTACATTTGTCTGAAATCTTTAGCCGCCTGACATTTCTGAAGTTTGGAGGATTTGGAGGCAGTAGAAAAACACCAACCAGTGCCTTGAAATATCTTTAAACGGTATATTGTCTACTTAATCTAATTACTGTTAACTGGCCTCACTGCTTCTGGAATCAGATGGCTGTTAAGAGTAAACAGTCTTTCCACCTTTTGTCATAACCAATACAATGATCAACTTCCAACAAGTCTCAGTCATTTGCTTTAGACTGTTGCTACTTAGCTTAATTGGCAGTAGAGCAAGGTTGAGACATAACATTATGATTTGGGGAAAGCCCAACCAGCAGTTGAGGCACTAAACCATTATAAATGCTCAGTCCAGCCAGAGGTCTGATAGTATGTATAAGGTCCTAGTGGTCAAAAAGCAAATAAAGTGTTAGTCTGGAATTAAAGAGAGAAGACTGTAAACGCTGCAACAAATGACATGAGATGGAAACGGTATGCTATCAGTTTGAATACTCAGCCTGTCTCAAAGATAAAAGTAACAGAAAATGTCTAGCAAAGGGAAATAAAAATAATTAGCAGTATAGAAGTATTTGGAAAGAAGAAAAGAGAAGAGGGCAACTTGGTTTTCAGAGAGATGCAAAAAATGTGAAGGGTCTAGAAAAGATAAATTGGGGAAATGTATCTTCTTAGTAAAAGAATAACAAATGTGAAGATTGTTATCTCTCATGCAATGCATAATTAATGATCCCAGTGGCGAGGAGTCATGAAAGGATTTCACATTTATCCATAGCAGAAATGTTCAGCTACTTTCCTGGGAAATCAGCACTTGTGGTTTAGGACATAAGCCAACTCTTAATTGACTAGGATAGGAAGCAACCTTCCCATACTCATATTAGAGCTTAATGTTCCAGTAGAGGGGTAATTCAGTTTTCTCTGAAGCTTTGCATGCTGGCCTCCCTTACAGATGTGGTATTGTAACAGGGAAGCCTTTGTGCGGATTCAGAACAGCAAATCCTGGGTTCGTCTCTGTGCATCTGGTAGAATGAAAAGTATGAAATCACTGTGAAGCGTTGAAAAATCAAACTGAGAAAAAGTGGATGTACAAAACCCCCACACATTCGGTGATGGATAAATAGATAGCGTGCACTGTGCCTGTGGCTTTGGGACTCTGCGCTTGCATAATATACAGAGGAGAGTATGTCTGTTAACATGCAAACTGACTTAGCACAGCACATGACTTTCAGCTTTTATGTGTTTTTGCTGTATTTGGTCCCTGTTGGCTTTCCTGAGCTGGGTGGTTTGCATGTTCTTGCTTTAATTTCATAATTAAAAGGGGTGGCTGGGTTGGAAGGTGGGGATGCAGCATCAGTTTTGGATCTCTCTATTTTGGTTGGTGAGATTTTATGTTGGGCTGTCTTATAGCATCCCTTAAAGCCACTCTGAGCAAACAGTGGCTGTATCAGTGGTGGCGCATAGAGCAATCCTGAAAGCAGGGTGCGTGTGACATGCTTGGTGCCTTTCAGGTCCCTGAGGTTCTCTTTTAGCCCTTGTAGCTTCAGTTAGCCTCCTGAGCTGCATCTACATTGCTAGAAGAACCCCGTGTTACATTGACATGGCTAATTCAAGACTGCTACCTCAATGTGAAATCCAAGGCCCAGGTAACTGTTGAGATGCGTGGTAAGGGTTGACCTTGACTAGTTACATCCAGATAACTATACTGCCTTGTTTCCAGCCTGACTTTTGCATCATTAGCTAACATCATTTAAATGAGCATGTATTTTGGTAGTGAAGGCATTGTCATAAAAACCTGCATCCCAGTGACCCTCCCTCTGGAAAAGACACCTGTTTAATGGTTTCAGAGTCCATTGGCTTGACCCCACATATTGGGCAGTCATTGGAGGGAGGATATTGCCACTGAACAACAAAAAAATTCTCCTCCCTCATTTGCCCCAATCCTAGCTGGGCTTCTTGCCAGTTTGATTTCAAGCTCAGGTACCACAAGGCTGGTCTAAAACTGGTATGATGGAGAGGTGAATCAAGCCCTGGATTTTCAAACTAAGTAGGAAAGACCACGTGGAGGATGATTGGAGATTCTGACAGTCCTGAAGAATTTGTATGGACTGAGTTGTGCCGCCCACACCTTCTTAATTCAGCACCAAATGACTGGTTGAATTTGCTGTTCATCTGGAAATGGCCTCCTTGAGAGAGCGACTCTCCTGTGATGCGCCGCTTTGAGTGTGAAGGTAAATGTTTGGATGGAGAAAACCCATTATATTAGAGAAGGGGCCGCTAACAGGTTTTCTGTAAGGGTCAGTGGGCTCTGGGATGGACTGCCTTGGAAACTTCAGGGCCCATAGCATGGCCTGTTTGTTCTCCCTGCTCTTTGAGAAAACCTGGTGAGGGTTGCATAGGTCATCTCCAGGTTAGGAGTAGGGAGCTGATGGGATACTTGACTAGAGGTAGTCAGTTTTGCTCATTGGTAGGTGCTCTCATATTGTATTTTTGGGCACTCTGTACCGTATTAAATGAAAAAAGAGAGAGGATCTTCTGGGTGGTCTTTTGGACTACCTTTTGCCATGGTCTTTGAAGTAGCCCTTGTTTGAAGTCTATCAGACATGCTCCAGTAGCTGTGTCATGGCAAAAGGGTAAAGTTGGGTAGTAATTCCAGTTGGAAGAACTGGTGAACAAGTTAAGAGGCTGTGACTTGGATGACTACACAGTCCGGTGGGTGGCGAATTGGCTGGAGGGTCGCACCCAGAGAGTCGTGGTGGATGGGTCGGCTTCGACCTGGAAGGGTGTGGGCAGTGGGGTCCCGCAGGGCTCAGTCCTTGGACCGATACTCTTTAATGTCTTCATCAGCGACTTGGACGAGGGAGTGAAATGTACTCTGTCCAAGTTTGCAGATGACACAAAGCTATGGGGAGAAGTGGACACGCCGGAGGGCAGGGAACAGCTGTAAGCAGACCTGGACAGGTTGGACAAGTGGGCAGAAAACAACAGAATGCAGTTCAACAAGGAGAAATGCAAAGTGCTGCACCTAGGGAGGAAAAATGTCCAGCACACCTACAGCCTAGGGAATGACCTGCTGGGTGGCACGGAAGTGGAAAGGGATCTTGGAGTCCTAGTGGACTCCAAGATGAACATGAGTCGGCAGTGTGACGAAGCCATCAGAAAAGCCAATGGCACTTTATTGTGCATCAGCAGATGCATGACGAATAGGTTCAAGGAGGTGATACTTCCCCTCTATCGGGCGCTGGTCAGACCGCAGTTGGAGTACTGCGTGCAATTCTGGGTGCCGCACTTCAAGAGGGATGCGGATAACCTGGAGAGGGTCCAGAGAAGGGCCACTCGTATGGTTAAGGGCTTGCAGACCAAGCCCTACGAGGAGAGACTAGAGAAACTGGACCTTTTCAGCCTCCGCAAGAGAAGGTTGAGAGGCGACCTTGTGGCTGCCTATAAGTTCATCACGGGGGCACAGAAAGGAATTGGGGAGTATTTATTCACCAAGGCGCCCCCGGAGGTTACAAG